CCCCCGACAGTGTGCTCAGCGAGGCCGTACTTCTCAATGTCGCTGTTTTTACAAGTCCTGGGGGTGGCGCCAGTGGGCCCACTGCCGTCCTGCTTGGCTCCATCTCCATTACTCGTGGAGGGCATTTCTGTGGGGGGGGGAGACAGCAGCAGAGGTCAGGGCGCAGGGGCCGGCGAACAAGCGAGAACAGCTCGTACATGGAACCAGCACACAGACTCCGCACTCAGACCCCATACATGGAAGGAGGCCTTACCGTCACTGGCCCATTTGGAGAACTCAGGGGTTATTCTGTGGGTCGGTGTCCCACCGCTGAGAGATGAAAGAAAGCAGAGGGTTATATGGATGGGGGGGGCGATGGGTACAGGATGGGGCCAAAGGGCGCTGGCTTACTTTAACACAGCACCCCGCAAGGCCTCGCGCTCCTTGGCCTCTCCCTGGTCCTCTCCAGAGCATGGAATGATGTCTGCCTCTGTGTACCTGTAGGGGGCGCTAAGGAGGCAGAGCACAGAGGCAGAGGAGGGCTAGGGCCAGCATCAGGGACTGTAAGGATACTGTGCCTTGCCATACTCCAGCGTGTCGTCACCGTCAACATCGAGGTCGGCGTCACTGTCGTGGCTCTCCTTGGTGCTGCAGGTGGCGAAGCCAGTGCCTGGGGGAGGGGGCAGCGGAGAGACAGGGTCTTACTGGGGGAGGGGGCAGCGGCAATACTGCACGTGTGTGATCCTGCCTCACCCACCGGCGTCGCACGTAGAACACGTCACAGACACGGCAGCTGCACACAGACGGCACCGCGTTCTCAGCCATCAAATAAAAGCGGCCTTTTAAGTTTTATTTGGTGCCAGCAGCTGAGCAGACCAGAGCTTCCCCCAACACGTGTGAGCAGCAGCCCGCCGGCATGCCGCACAGCCGGGACGGGAATGAGCCCCCCCACAGGGGCCACACGCCGCCACGACCTGAGCTAAATGGGCTTCTTTAATTAGGTGATTGGGAAAGGCCCCAAGAGCGCCCCCCAGAGGCAAGCAGGCGGGAACACAGGCGCGATCACCATGGCCGGATGGGACACGGCTGTCAGGCGGGCAGCTCGGCACACTGCCCCAAACAAGCCGTCACTCAGGCAGCCAATGAGACAGCAGCTGCCGGCCCACGGACACACAATTACCCCGTGCGGAGACAGGAGTCAGCGCGTGTCACGCTCGCTTAGGATGATGGGGACGGGGACAGAGATAGACGTGGAGGTGACGCCAGCAAAGAGGACGTGTTCTGGGGCGGGGGGGGGGGGGGGGCCGACAAACAAACCCAGGCAGAGTCAACAAATTCCCACCTTAATTGGACAGCAGAGGGCACTGCAGCGGTAATTAAGCGGCATCCAGGGAGCTGAGGGCGCCCCCCCCCCCCAAGGCTGACAGAGGCGACGGACAGGGTCTCCCCCCGATCAGCGGCCATCGCTCCATCTAACCAGCCCTGGCAGGCAATCCGAGCTCTGCCAGAAAGGTCAGGGCCACTTTCACCGCCTTTCAGTCACATTATGCATGCGCCTTCCCACGATGCCCCAGACTGCCTCACAAACGAGCAGGACAGCACAGCATAACCCTGGGCTGCACAGGTGGCAAGGGACCCATCCAGAGGGGGCACAACGGCAAATATCAAGATGCCGGACGGCATCTTTAAAAAGCAGCAGGTAGGGGGCGCTCTCCAAGCCCCCCCAGCCATGGCCTCAAAGGAGGTGGGGGGGCAGCTGGTCCCAGGAGGGCTCCCCGTCTTTCAAGGCAAATCCTCCTTTTCTTGGGGGGGGGGGCCTTTTAAGTGTGCGCGTGCCTCTACAGAGGAGGGCCTCCCTTATCTGGATCCTATCAGACGGCCCCCGTCAGGCTGGGAAGAAGCCTCCTTTGCTCATTAGATGAATGGATGGACGGATCGTTTCTGCAAACAGTTCAATCTAGATGAAAAATTGATCTGTGACACCTCGAGTCGGGCCAGGCTTCACAGCGACAGAAGGCCTGCAGATTCCGGCTTTGTGATTCTGCTTCTGGCGGAATTGAACCGTGAGGCTTCAGGGAGGAAAATCGATGCTTTTAAAGCGTGTTTCAGGAAGAAAAGAGCACTTTGAACTTATAGCTCCACATCCAACAGGAGCCTGCCGCGGGTCACCAAGTGAACTTCTGAGATGGTGATTGGCCTGATCTTGGTGCAAATCACACGTTTGGAAGGTTACCAGATCAAACACAGAAGGGGATTTGGCATCTGAGCTGAGAAGGCCGGAGACGGCCGCGGCCGGCAGGACTGTAGCGGGAAGGCCCACACGACAGCAAAGCGGTACCGGACCGACCTGGCTACAGCCGACCCAGAACCCCGGAGCCTAGGACCCAGAAGCCCAAGCAGGCGGCAGCGTACCTCTGTAGCCCCCCTCTAGCAGGGCACTGGCTCGAACCCGCTTCTGGCCACACCACTCATACTCCTCGAAGCGCGTGCCGTTCTCGCCGTCCAGGTCGGCGGCGTCGTCGTCGGGATGGCATGCCCCTTCCCGCTGCAGGACAAAACGGCGTTAGCGCCTTGCACAGGCAGTGCAGAGAATGACAGAAACAGGCATCTTCAGAAACTGGAACGAATCGCCCGAGACTAAATAAAGCAGGAGAAGCAATAACAGGGGATGAGGAAAGAGAAATTCAGGATGGAGGAGCGATACAGAAGCAAGCCCTCGGGCAGAAGCTAGGGGGCGCCACCTGGGTACACGTGTGGCTCAATGGTATCCGTCAAGCCCACCTCACAGCCCTAAAGGACGGCACAAGTCAGCCGGACCGTGTTCAGTACCAGTGCTTTCTGGCACTCTACAGCGGGAACAACCTCATCTCGCTAAACAACCTTAATTAACTTAAGAAGACTCAGCTTTAAGTGCCGAGGTTCCCTGATTGAACACGATGGCCATGAAGAGCAGGACTGGGCTGAAAGAAGTGCAAAAGCTGTCCTACCCCCAGGGCCTGGAATGCCTCCCCCCTACACAGGCACTCCTGAGGGCCAGAGAACATCAGGATCAGCCATGGGCCTCAAAAAGAGTCAGAAGCTGCTCCATGGCAGTGAAGAAGAAGAGGTGCTGGGGGGGTGCAGCCCCAAAGGCGGAGATGCAGACAGAGAGGGAGGGAGGGAGGGAGGAGAGCGGGGTGGCCGGCCGGCTGCGGCGCTCCCAGGCTACCTGGAGCAGACACTCCTCCACATGCCTACTCATGTGCTCCTCGGTTCCGGCCAGTGGGCGGCTGCACAGCGGACATACCTGCCCATCGTCCGCCTTCCGTCGCTTCATCTTCCCGATGCGAGCTGCAGGACACACAGGATGCAGGGACTGCGTTAGCTGCCATCCCAGCATGCACTATTCAGGCAAAGAGGAACTGCCCCCACCCCACACAGTCCTCTCATCGTGTGTGGGGTGTAGCACCTGTGAGAGGGAGTGCCCCCCACACCCCACCCCACCCCAACTCAACTGCAGGGACATAATTAGGAATTTAACAGAGCGGGACAGAGCCAGGGGCCGTAACTCTCCGTGCCTCTCTCTTAACTGCAAATGGGCCACGGGGACATTAAGTTTTAGGGGCTGGGATGGGGGGGCGGGGCCATAATGACAGTGGATCATAACCCCTGCACGGTGGCGCCATGGTAACGGTGAAGGTGCCGTTAAATTGAGAAAGAAAAGCCAGATTAATTAGGCACAAAAAGATTTTTATTCCATCCTTTTAAATCAGCCCAACTCCTGATGTGAGGTAATAAAGATGAACGGGTGGGGCTTTGGACAGCCCCCGCCGTACAAACAAAGCTGAAGGCAGAAAGGCGCTTATCGGAGCGGAGAACGAAGGCAGAGCCACAGACAGACAGACCGACAGACCTGTGTGTGTGTGGTAGGGGGGGGAGATGTCATATCGGACTGGACCTGACGTTAACACTGGCTATCCGTGCCACAGTGAACTGGCTGCTAACCTCCAAACACCCCCAGGGGGCGCTCTGACATCAGTGTGGGGCTGCGGATGGATGGGGTATGCTCTTACCGTGGCGACTGCAGCAGGGGGCAAGGGGGGCTCCGTTGTGCGGTTGAGGGGGGGCAGTTTTGACACTTTCCTTGGCGTAGCGCCTGCACCAGCAGAGGGCATCGACTGTTAACATACCAAGAAGGCAAGGGTTAACGGATCCTCTGCTCGTGAAAGCGCTAGGCCGGGGGAGGGGGGGGCACCACACATGCGGACACCCTGCGCCTATACCAGAGAACACCCCCCAGCTAAAACCAGCCACACGGGAAAGACAGCATCTTGGGAGGAGGGGGGTGTGTGTGATCCCACAAGAATGGTGACTCCGATCCCACTCATCAATAAGTGGGGGGGGGGGGGTCCTCAGTGAGCAGGCAGGGCTGCTCAAGCCCCCATAGTTGGGGCCTGGATGGTTAGGATTAACCTAACCCTTAGCAAACACTGTAACCTAGGCATAACCCTTCCCTCAGTGCACAATCACAGCTGATTATCTCCCGGATCTAGATGCCTCTCTTTAGTAATTATCTTTGTTATGGTTGAGTATTTAAATGACACTCAACTGCTTGTCAAACCACATGCTTCACATGTACCTGCTCTAATCACCCGTCCACAAAACACACAGGTTACAGCCAGCTCTATGTGCAGGGTGATGGCACGGGTCTCTGCCGGAGGGGGCGCCCAGGTGGCCCGCCGGCTGCTGGAGCCCCCGCCGGGAGCCCCTGCGAGCTTACAGCGAGCTCTAAGTGCGCTGTGACGTGGCAGCTCTCTGCGCTAGTGGGCTCAGAAAGCCGTAGGTGTACGTACCATTCAGCCGGGTCTGCCTGTTTGCCCTCACTCGCAGGAAAGTCTGGGGACACAAGGAAGCACACGGCACACGTTAGTAAACGGGCCGCCCCCTCCCCCCGCAGGCCCGTCCCCTCCGCTACACGCGCGTACCCGCTTCTCCTGCGCGCTCCCGCAGCTCCCCAAACTCACTGCGGTACAGAGCGGCGCGGGCCGCCAACGCTGAGGCCACCGTAGTTCGGGAGTCCGCCTTCTCGGTTTTCAGGAGGATGCAGTGAGATTGAGAGTTGGCCCCTCCGCGCGATAACCGCTCATTCCACAGTCGCCATCTTGCGCTTCCGCATCACGTGACGCGCGCGGTCTCAAACCGGAAGTTGAAAATGAGGCCAGCGTGGTAGCGTGATTCGGTAAGCGGCCGCGAGGGGGCGCCAAGAGCGCGAACAGCACCGCGAGTGCATAACTAACGTTTGCGTATTACTTTCACTTTTTGTTGCAGATCTGAGGATTTTTTTTAATCCAACACGATTTACAGCTTTGTATCCATTTAAACAGCTGGATTTTTTACTGGCTAAATTCAGAGTCCGCGGCTTTCTCAAGGGTCCATCGGCAGGCAACTGCAGGGGACCGCAGCCTTCTAGTTTAATCTGTTTAAGATGCGGTTTAACCTCAATACCGCATGATTTGAAACATAAGGGTGACACTGCAGCCAGTTTTGTCCCCGGTAACATGATATTAGATATTAGAGCATTAATCTGGGTGAGTCTTGGTATAAAATGCGCACCGGGTACCCGTAGTCGTGCTCATCTGCCGTAGATGATGGATAGTGTAACAAAAAGCCTGATTACGGATTAAACTAAAAAGCTTAATTGACATTTTCACTTTTACCGAAAGGTTCCGGCTGCTTGTATAATGATATTTTCCATGGCTCCTAATAGAAAAATAAGGCCACTTCTAAAATGAAACTTCTCCCTGTAGGCTACACTGATCAATCTTAATGTCAGTCTCCGTCGCGCTTTAAAAGAAGGAAGGGCAGTTGTAAAATGAAATTTTTCACTATCAGTTTTATTTATCGAATACAAGAATCGCAACTGTAGGTAAGGCGGAATCTTTATTACGGGAAAACAGCATGTGATTTGGGATTGTCTGTCTACATCGATAGCATAAGCATTTAGTAATAGATTGGATTTGAAACGAAGCACAGTCCATCAGTTAAGGCGGGGATGACGGAGCCGGTTCGGCTCAGCCAGAGCTGGTCATGAAAACATCTCAGCAGTCAAGGACACTGTGAACAGCAGGGCTGATAACGCTGGCTTCGCAGCATTACAAATTAGCCTGGGGGCAGACTTGATGGATTCATTTATACTGCGAGTACATGGGGGCCACAGGTAGAGAAACAGGAGCTCCATGAATGAGAAGCAGGAATTAAGCAAAGGGCTATTTAAAGGTATGACATCCCTGGACAGAATATTAACGTGACAGAATAGTAACGTTTCAGCTCTCCCCTGAGGTGGCAGCCTCTAGCCGTGTTTGCTCAGCCGTGATGCTGGACACGTTAATCTTTGAGCCTTTGTAGGGAAGGCACCCTGTAACGTTGTGTATGTGTGTGTAGCGTGTCCCATCCCCGTAGGGCCACCGAGCACCCTGATCCCGTGCTCACCTGGTACCTGTCCGAGTGATGCAGGTCCTCCGAGGACAGGGGCGAGAGCACGGGTGACTCCCCCTCACGCTTGATGTGCACAGACAGCAGCAGGGACTGGGGGGGACAGAGGCAGTCAGATGGAGCCGGTGTTAAGCTGCCTGTGAGGGTGCCCTACACGCATGTCACTCAGCCCTGCGCGCCGTACGGCCCTGCCGCCCGACAGCCTCCGCTGTGAGGGTGCCCTACACGCATGTCACTCAGCCCTGCGCGCCGTACGGCCCTGCCGCCCGACAGCCTCCGCTGTGAGGGTGCCCTACACGCATGTCACTCAGCCCTGCGCGCCGTACGGCCGTGCTGCCCGACAGCCTCTGTGCCTCCATCCTTCACATGAGTTTTATTGTGGGCAGAAGCAGAGTGGAGACATATTGCCTTGTCTAAGGAAGCCCTGATCTATGGGCCGCTTTTTATGGTTCCGGTGTAAAATATTTGTATTTACAATACAGCTCAATTAATCAAAGCGAGAGCGGAGAGCAGCGCTTCACAGGCACCGAGGCTTAATCTAATATTAATACGTGAGAAATGGTCAGCTTCCTTTGTGGGGACAGTAAATTAAGTGTTATTCACGGCCGTTTATGCTTTTGTACCACAAGGTCAGCTGGTAATTTATCTGTGTGTGTTTGGGGCTGTCCTGCGGGCTGCTGAGTGCCGTAGGGCTGCCCTGCTCCTTCCCGGTGCCTGTACCCTGTGTCTGTCCCATGGCCCAATGCCTTCGGCTCCCCTTCTCTAGTTCCTACATAAACTTCGGCGCCTTCTGCTGTCGGCACGGTGTGAGCAGGTCACAGCACACGTGTGCCACATGAAATGTCAGCATGTCTGAACGGCATGCAAGGGCCCTGGTTCACGCTGAGAGTGCCTGGAGGCACGCACGCTCGCATTCCGGGTGCCCCAGGATTACCCGGGGCAACGGCAGCCGTGGAATCACCATGGCGATTGGGAGGAGGTGCTGGGGGGGCTCACGCGGCAGTGGGTGAGGTTAATCCCCCCCAGGGCCGGCATCGCGCGGCTCTCCGCCTGTCGGCACGTCTGCAGCACGTGCAGGGTCGTATGGCAGTGCCCCCCCTGCCTTGGCACCCAAGTGGAAGAGCCTGGAGAGCCACTGCACCTCCACACCTTTGGATGCCATGCTGGGTTCTGATGCTTCCCTTTTCTGTGCCACTGCGTAGCTCAGACACCTGGAGCAAGCTGGGCCATGTTTAAGCCTGAGAATCCAGCCCTGGGGGGGGGGGGGGGGGCTCAGACACATGACCCTGTTCCACAGTTCAATGCAACAGGGAGGAACAGCTAATAGTCATATTCAAGGGTGACTTTTGAGTGGTTTAGCTCATAAAAAATGGCCTTTACAAGGTGCAATAATCATCAGGGGAGACAGATCTTTAAGAAAATAATTCATGGCTTGTTTGCCCTCTGAGAGGAGAGTCGCCATAGGCAGCCGGGCAGCTCTTAATGGCACTAGGCCCATCAATCGTCACTCTGTCCCCTCCCTTTGCTCTCAGGGAAAACATTGGTCTTCCCTTGGAAATGCCCCCCAAACCCAAACCTCTCTCTTCTGCATAGTGCCTGTTTGCCACTTCAAACCAGGATGGTTAAGATCTCCAGACCAGCCATCTGAAGGAGTGTAGTTCAATGGCAAGGTGACATCTAAGAGAGGGCCCTCTAGTGGATGGGTGGTCACTGCCTCCAATCCTGCTCATCCTTGCTGAGATTCCCACCCCCTAACCTGTGCTATGATTGGCTCAATCTCAGCCAGGTCAGTGCCGTTGAATGGATTGTCCTAATGACACACCTATAACCTGTCCAGACTCTGCCTGCCCGATGATGATAATTACGGTTTTTATCACCTTAAAGTGCCTCGCAGGCAGCTTTACTGAGATGAGTGACACGGCTTGCAGTGTTAAGTGAGCATCTGTGTTGAGCAAATGCAATAAGTGTCCGTGTTGAGCACCTGCGCTAAGTATCTGTGTTGAGCACATGCATTAAGTGTCCGTGTATTGGGCACCCGCGTTGAGCGTCTGTGTTGAGCACATGCATTAAGTGTCCGTGTTGAGCACCTGCGTTGAGTGTGGGTCCTTACCTTGGGCGTGCCGGGTGCTGTGCTCACATCCTTGTGTGCAGGGTTCTTACTGTAATGGAGAGAAGGGCAATGGTGATTATTCTCCAGGGGGGTGCTGTCCTGTGGGGACCCGCACCTCAGTGCCGGGCCATGGGAGCAGCGGCTGATTTAATCGCCTTCAGATTTAACACCCCCCACCCCCAGGGGCCACAGAGAATTTGAAACAATTACTGTCCAAAGTACGACAACTAAGCAGATTTGGAATATAATTTTTTTATTGAAGTAATCATTCTCTGGATTTCCCCGTCCCTCTCGGAGCGAGCGTCTGGAGGAAATAAATGATTTGCCTCTGATTTGATTTGTCAGTGAGGTGCCCTGGGCATTTAGGTCCATGAAATATGTTAAGAGCAATGCGGTGGCTTGTAAACATGGCAGCGTGGCCCCCCCAGGAGGGCCCCCTAGAGGAGCCCGGCTCTCTAACCACATCAAATCAGAGGCCCGGACGTGCCGCTTCCGGGGGTGACTGATCAGGAGCCCCCCCCTTCCCCCCCCCCACCATCCCGTGTCTCCTGTAGATGTGCCTGCCGGCTTCTCTTGCTCTCTGTCTATTTCTCTCCTTCACTCTGCTTTCCTTCTGCTCCACCTCTGTTTCACACGCCTGTGCCCAGTGGTCCCATGACAGTGAGTGGATACTCCCTGCCTTCCTCCCAGTGTTCCGCGCTCAGTGTTGCTGCTCGTGGACGTTCCACAGCTTCTTTTGCACCTCAGGAATGCCGAGCCAGGCTCTGGGCCACTGCATCCCGGCCCCTTTTTGCTGGCCAGGGACACCGATATGCATTTATGTGCCTGAATGTCAATGAGCCGCAGGGTGTGTCAGATACTCCCCATCTTCTGTCACGCTCCAGCCTCCTCTCAGTACCATCTGCTGTGATAGGGCACATGAATGGGAGCTGGGAGCCGGGAGGTGAGGGCAGGGAGGCTTGGTGAAGATCGCAAGAGGGGAGGATGGAGTTTTGCACAAGGACCAGAGGCACCGGGATGAGGACAGCCATGCCCAAGTCGGGGACCTTCCTGAACAACTGTGGGAAGCTCTAGCTGACAGGAGAAACACATTTCTGTAAAGTTCTCCCTGTCTGTGTGTTCCATCGCCGATCCTGCGACCTTCCGTGTCTGTGAGCTTTGGGTTTGTCTCTCAGATCGTCCAGGAGTCTCAGGGGAGTCGTCATGGGGGGAGGGGTGGGGGGGTGGGCAGGTGAAACCTGTTCCATGCCGAGGGGCTTCCTCGGGGGGTAATAAGTTACAGAGGGCCAGCGCTCCCCCCCAGGCACTGTGATTGATCTGATGTGGAGGAGAGGGCCTGAACAAATCAGGAACAGGCCCTGAGAAGGAGATAAATCCCCAGCATGGGCCGCCGGCCGTTTGTGAGATAATAAACACACTCCCCTCCGCCGTAAATCCCCCTGCCGCCGGTGTAATCGGCGCTGTCCACACTGCGCCTCTGCTTCCCCAGTTCTTGGCCATCAATCTGGACCAGTAGCACCAGCAGCAGCCTGCCTAGGGGGTTTGTGATGGGATTCAGGCCGTGTGTACCCCCCACCCCCCAGCAGACGCCAGGCAAATAGTGCAGTGGGCTGGCAAGTTAGGGGACCTTTAATCAGTCTGATTGTTTGCCAAAAATCACACCGTAACCAGGTGACTTCTCCTCCCTCTGCCTCACCTGGCCAGCAGGACAAGCAGCCTCCTACCACCTGAGACAGGTCCCCTCTCAGTGTGCAGGTCCCCTTACTGTGTGCCGTGCCCTCATTGCATGCCAGACCTATTTGCTTGTGCAGGTACCCTCCCCCTGTGCAGGTCCCCTCACCGTGTGTATGTCCCCTCCCCCTGTGCAGGTCCCCTCCCCCTGTGCAGGTCCCTTCCCCGTGTGTATGTCCCCTCCCCCTGTGCAGGTCCCCTCCCCCTGTGCAGGTCCCTTCCCCGTGTGTATGTTCCCTCCCCCTGTGCAGGTCCCCTCCCTATGTGTATGTCCCCTCACCGTGTGTATGTCCCCTCCCCCTGTGCAGGTCCCTTCCCCGTGTGCTGGTCCCTTTCTTGTGTGCAGGTTCCCTACCCCTATGCAGGTTCCCTCCTCACATGCCATTCCCTTCCCCTGTGTACAGGTCCCCTCCGCATGTGCAGATTCCCTCCGCATGTGCAGATTCCCTCCCCAAGTGCAGGTTACCTCTGCATGTGCAGGTCCTGTCTTCCTGTGTGGACGCTCATCAGGTATTCCTGCATTTGTGACAAATGCACAGGGAGCCACTAACTTTGTAAGAAGCCATCAGATGACACGGGCGAGGTTCTGTGGGACAGAGCGGGAGGCGCACAGGGTGGCGGCTGGCAGCTCCAGGGGGCCTGTCATAGTGATGCCTGCCTGTCTGTCAGCCAATGAGGCTGCTTTAAAATGAGCGACACTGCCGGGGTTGCAGCCGGGGGAGTGGGGAGGAGGCGCCGCCCGGCCTGACAGCTTCCAGCATCCCCAGCTGCCTTTGGGCCCCTCAGAACGAGATTCTAGCAAGGCTTCCTGGCGGATAACGGTGTTTAAATCAGGCCCTGACTCGTCACTCGGGTGCAGGTAAGAGACGTAACACGTACCCCCTACGCCTGAGTGCATCATCACCCTGGATGGCCACCCCTCACCAGAAGGCTGCAGATAAAAATTGCTTTCTGTGCCTCACCCCCCCCCCCCCCCCTGCTGGGCTCCAACAGAAGCAAATTGATTACGCAGCGTATGTAGATTGTGTGGCCTGTGCGGAGCCCCCCAGGCTGATGTGAAAAGGGCATGATAGATTTCAATTTCCCAAGATGAGGAGTGAAGCCTGCAGGTGGGCCAGCGCAAATCGCAGGCTCCTGAATCCCCCCCCAAAGCGTAATGCTCCATCTTAAATATCCTCTGTTTTACATGCGTTCAGCTCTCATTTGGGCAAAATGAAACTGGTTTATTACAGGGAGATTTACCACAAATTGGCACGGATTCTGCACGTCACATCCAATGACGCTCATGCATAAGTAATGCGGGCAGGGAGGCGGGGGCCTGATTGGACCAGGGGAGGGGGGGCCAAGGGCAAGTGGAGGTGCCCCCATATGCGCTTTCTGCATTTCCACATCCAGGGTCAATTTCCCATAATCCCCCCCCCCCTCGGTATGGAGAATGTGAAGCAGGCAGTGGCACTGAGATGGGCTTCCTGATGTTCCATGTCTTTCTAGTGATATCCACATGGAAAGACATTCATCTGGCCCCCCAGGCGGCCCCCCCTCCCCGTGGCAGGTCTGATGGAGGCGTTGCTTGGCCCGAGGTGACCTAAGGTGCTCCACCTTCCTGCTTCTCCCTAGCTCTGAATGGCGAAAGGCAGGAGAGGCTCTCGATGGCACCCCTCAGGGAGCAGCGAGGAAGCTGATACTGTCCCTTTAAATGAGCGCCGCCGTCAGGCAAGGTGGCAAACTGCTCACAGCCACAGCCTCTGCTTGGAGCAGAGGCACCCAGCGGCCCTTATTAATTATTAAATGATGACTCTCACCACGGTGTGATAGATATCCCTCCACCTCAGCCAAACGGTCTGCCGCGGGGCTTCCTCTGGGGCATGCCACTTCCCCCCCAGAGTGAGACACCACATCAGCACCTCAAAGCAACAATGCAGTGCCCCCCCCCCCAGGCAGTCAGTGATCAAGCACAGTGAGTGGGCTGCAGCATCTGTCTTAGTGTCAGGACACCTGTGTACTCTCATCTCCGTGATGTGCCCCACCATCACGCGTCACCGGGGGGCAGCGCAGCTTGATTTATAAACAGCCCCCTCTGTAACGTCTGCTCCTGTCTGAACCAAGCCCCCTGATAATACCTCAAATGTCTGCTAGTCTTACAAATGAGCTTGTCCTTTAGAAATGGCCTGAGCTCAACAGCATCCCGCCTCCTGCAGCATGTGGCTTTCCAATCGCATCTATGAGACGTGGCTCTGAGAAATGGCCTTGTCCCAAAACACTCAAGGCTGACCCCGCCCTGAGACATGGCCTCATCTCAGACTTGGCCACTGCCCAGAAACTGACCCCGCCCGGAGACTTGGCCCTGCCCAGAGGCTGGCACCAACCTGAGACTTAGCACTGCCCAGAGGCTGGCACCAACCTGAGACTTGGCCCCGCCCAGAGACTTGGCACCATCCTGAGACATGGACCCCACCCAGAGGCTGGCACCATCCTGAAACTTAGCCCTGCCCAGAGGCTGGCACCATCCTGAGACTTAGCACTGCCCAGAGGCTGGCACCATCCTGAGACTTAGCCCCGCCCAGA